GGGGTCAGAGCCAGTACCTGTTTGTAATTCCACCTGTCTCACTGTCCTCATTCATGTCCTAGCCTCACGTACTTTTCTGCCAATCCTGACTTCCTAATGCTGTAGCATAGTTCTTGGCAACCTATCATATTGTTTCTCGAAATCCTCAAAAACATTTTGCAAAACCTTCTGACCTTTTCTGTACTTCGTGATCAGCACTTTCAAAGAAAATATTACATCTACCATCAACAGATTCATAGCTTATCGGTATCATCTTCATCAGTCTGTAATTACTATAACTCTTTTGTTCTTGAAAACTGGTACCACTACAGTTCTCGATTTCTTTGGCTTCTCACTCTATGAGTACTGAATATCAACTGCAGGTAGCTTTAGGTGCAGATGTCAGGCATTCATATCTTTTTAGGCGTAAAGTCTGTCTTCTCTTGCTTGCTCTCTCTCTCTTTCTCTCTCTCTCTCTCGCTCTCTCTCGCTCTCTCCAAATCTCTCCATCTCTAAGTTAGCAGGAGTGACACTTGTCACATCATCTTAGACCCCAGACCTTGGCACACAGATAAGACTCACTCCTAGCAGTAATCTGCTGAGAAGGGCAAAGAGATTGTCACACACACGCACAGATACACGCGCAGGCACACACACACGAGGAGGAGAGATCGAACATTCAAGCTCACTCACCATTATCAGATATGTCAGGCACACAGCCTCTGGGCTGAGGCACACTCAAACGCACACACACATATATATATATATGTGCCATCCAGCTGACTCCAGCGAGATAGGGTCGGCGGCCAAGGAAGGGTGTTGAGGGCAGCTCATGTCTGATAGATTAGCCAGGGTCTATTTCCTTGCCACGGAGTTTCGATTTTTGATGGCGAGGCTGCCATCCCGTAATGAAGTCTTTGAACAGTGACTTAGCACCAAGGACAGGTGGGGAGTAGAGCTCGTCCACCACTCATACTAATAACACCCAGTCAAATATCAGGACAGCACAGGGGGGTTTCTACTGCACATACTGCTTTGTGAGATCATGAAATCACCTCATTCTGCTGCTTCTAAACCACTTGTAAGAAACATAATAGAAAACCACATCACTGGTTTGTATCTAATCACATTCTGCAACAAAACTCTCCTGAAAACAATGTACAAACATGTGTTTTCTCCTACTTAGCTCTGTTTGTTTAACAAAGGGAGCTGTTAATGAGTTTTGATTTGTGTTCACTGAGCTGATTGGACTCTTGTTTGTCCACTAACAGAAGTGTTAATGCTCTGGAGCGCCCATTCAAAAGTAGACAAAGAAATAACTAAATTAACTCCACAGCTGGTGGGAATTAATGCACAAATAAAGCAATAAACATTTTTTTTTATAAATTACACTGAAAGGTTTGCAGTGACCCAGCAAAATGTTGTTTACAAAATCTAGATAAGACTCACGGATGGAAATGTTAAACATGCGTTCATCCACATTACTAAGGCAGGATCTTCTCCTTGTCCTCCATAGGTGGTTTTCAGAATTTTGAAATTGGCGTATTGTGATCATAGACTGTATACAAAGATGGATGGTATGTAGCTACTTATTAGATTAAAGACTCAAGATAAGTATTTTTGGGCAGCTGCCATGTCGTTATTTTGGAGTCAGAGGTTACCATATTTGATCAGGAGGGTGATCTCGTAAGCTATCAGCTAATATTAGCACAGATCCTGCTAATTGTTACTAAATAAGACTTCAAATTTTACCTTAGCAAAACTGAAATCCAAACTTTTTTGACAGTCTGTACCACACAGCATGGAATAATTTAAAATCAGACAATTGCTTTGAAAATCCTCCAAATTTAAGAAGCAGGATAATCCATATTTGACCAAGTCAAACAAGTTAGAGCAAGAAGAACAACAGAGGTAAAAAGTGGAACATCAGCATATGTGAATCTGCAGCCGAGACATCTGTCACTACCTTTTAACGA